TCAGCCTGTGAGTCCCACTATTTTTTTTTTTTTTTTTTTTTAAAAGAATGAACACAGTATGAGGTGCCAGAGAGAGAAGAAAAGCTATAGGACAAGACAAGCTGTGAAGGATTGTATACTAGTTAGGGAAACTGGACCTGTTACAGAATTGTCAGCTGCCCCTGCTCACTGGTCTCCCTGACAACTCACATGGGTCCTCACCCAGGACAAGTGAGGCAAGAGATTGTGCTGGGTCCTAGCTGGAGCCAGCAGGATAGGGATGTGGAAAGGTAAAGGCTGGGGCCCTCAAGAGTTCCTGCAGACTAGTCACAGGTCCAAGTGCTCTGCAGTCTTCCTGGCTGGGATATGCTTCAGGGCATGAGCTGTAGAGGAGGTGGTCCCTCTGGAGTCCTGCTGTGTGGGGCCTGAGCTGGCCTGGCTGGTCCTTCATTCCAAGCCTGCTACTCACTGTTGAGTAGCAGTGAAGATGACTCAGCCTTGCTGTTAGGGAGATTCCCTCTTTGATTCTCTTAGTCTCTCAGCGAGTGGAAAGAGGCTGAAAAGGACATTGTGGCCACAGCCCAGCCAGGGGTAAAGGACATGGGAAGGGACCTCAGCTACCATCTGAAACCTGGGAGTAGTCAAGAGAGCCCCCGCTGCCCCCTGTCCCCAAACCAACTCCTCCAACCACAGCGCTGGGCCAGCCTGGGTCACTCTCTGAGCCAAAGGTCAAGGCTATTTTTAGAAGCCAGACTCATAAAATGTCCGGCCTTTGTGGGACCAGGGTACGGGAGTCTGGTGGCAGCACAGTTCCAGGGCACATCTGGAAAGAGGATCGGGACAGTGGAAGGGGCGGAGAAGTTACAAGGACCAGAAGAGGCAAGTGAAACCCAAAGGAAAGATATCAACCCCACCCCCACCCCAACACCCCCTGCCAGCTGCTGGCATTGCAGAGAAACTGAGCATTGTGGGAGTGAAGAGAAACAACTGCTCAGGGTCTGTCTGGCTGATACCCGTGAGCCTAGCGATGCCCAGTACTAGATCAAGTGACGCTAAGGTCCTTCCAGTCCTATGGGTGCTCCGTAGTCTGAAATCACGGTGGTCATGTTTCCATCATCAAAGATGTAACCACTGCGAATTGGATCTCAGACCTCCTCTCCCCACCCCCACCCCACAAAGGCACAAACTGTTATCTGGATCTTCTCTAACTTCGGGATCCTGTCATGCTGTCATAACATGACACACGCGTGCCATGTGCAGGAGAAGCCACAGCCATAATCCGTGGTCCGTTTTATCCAGGAGGGAATAGAGACTCCAAGGTTAGTAATACTCAAGACTCAAAGTCACAGATGGACAGATTAGGGAAGAGAGAGGGTTCTCTGACCCCAAAAGTCATGGTCATTGCCTGGTATGAGGCGGCCTCCCCCCCCCCCTCCCGCCCCCAGTCACAGTGAGTCACCAAATAGGAAATCACACTCAGGTGACTCTGGGCAGTCACCCTGCCACACAGCTTTGTAAAGAGAGATTAAGTCAAGGTGAGATTGGGGGGAAAAGGAGCAGTTAAGTCTTTTTCTGATATTTTTAAATTACAGAAACTAAGATTGCAGAGTAAAATTTAAAACTATAGACTCTTGAGATAGAATGAAAACTAGTAACCTCAGGGGATGGCTTCTTTCCCCCTTCTCTCCTTAGATGGCGTGTTTCTAACTGTGTGTTTCCAGCACACACATGTGTAAGACTAAACACAGAGACACATGTGCTTATTCCTGACAATCGCGGTCAAGCACACTCCATCAAACGTTCAGATTGCCTTTTCTTTTTTACTTAAATTAGTGTGTGTGTGTGTGTGTGTGTGTGTGTGTGTGTGTGTGTGTGTATGCATCATCACTTCATCCTTTTTTTAAAAATGACCTTATATTTCAGAATATATGTGGATTGGCATTTATGTAGGAAGTCTGCTATTTAAAAAAAAGTCATGAATTTGAGAGGGAACGAGGTAGGGTTGGAAGCATGGGGAGGGTTGGCAGGAGGGCGCAGGGTAGGGGGAAAGGTGTAAACATAGTACACACATGTGAAATTTTTAAATTAATTTAATTTTTAAAGAAGAAAGTATATTGTTGGTGGACAATCAGGTGTAAATATGTGCTCTGACAGGGCCTCTAAGGCCCAAGCTATGTTAATCACACTCATCTCCCCTTAAGGGAAAGTCTCTTGGCACAGGCGGTGTACTTTTACAATCCTAGATACTTGGAGGTCTGAGGCAGGAGATTGCTGGTTTGAGGCCCATCTGGGCAATGACATGAGAAGCCACCTCAAAAAGGTGTGAGGGTGAGGTTCTATGACAGAGTATTCGCTGGCAGGCTCCAGGCTTCAGTACTTTTTCTATTATTAAAAAATACAAGCCTGGTGTGTTGGTTCCCCAGTTACATTCATTGTATGTGTCATGTTGTGACAACATGCCTAACAAAGCAACGTGAGGAAATCAGGGCTCATTTAGGCTCGCAGTTTGAGAGAACAGTCCATCATGGCTGGGGAAGGCAAGAGGGGCACAGAGCAGCTTCTCACACTGCAGCTGCAGCCAGGAAGCAGAGAGGTGAATGTCCGTGCCCGGTTTGTATTCTGTGTGCGTGTGCGTGTGTATGTATGTAGCATGTATGCATGCATGTATTCAGTATGCATATCTATTTATTCCGGAATCCTAGACCATGGAATTGTGCATCTATATTTAGGGTGTATTTTCCCACCTCGACTAACTCAGTCTAGAGACTCTCTCACAGATGTGCCCAGAAGTGTGTCTCCCAGGTGATGCTGGATCCTCCCAAACTGGTGATCCGTATCAACCATCACAGGCAATCTCTAGAGCTGGGCCTGGATCCAAATCTTAGCTCCAACCCAGGCCCTCCCCACTACAGGGTGTGTTTTGTTAGGAACTCCTAAATTAGCTTCTGGAAACATCTAGTTCCTAGTAAAAGCAGAGTTAATAACAGTGCAAACCCACAGATATTTTGTGTGCACTAAAATAGCTAATGCTTTGAGACCTTAACACTCTTTAAGAAACCCCAATTTGTGCCAGTAAATGTGTCACAACAATACATTAAGCACAATAACACACTAATTCATTTAACCCACATGATGTGCTATTACTCATTTCTGTATTTTCAGGGTCCTCAGCACAATGCCTGAGCAGCACACAGAGTGTGATGTACAGTGGCAATGTGCACGGGCCATCCCTTCCACCTCCACGGGTCACAGGCCCACTGAAGTGCAGGTCCTCACTTACACACAGCTGGTCCCTGGCTCTAACGGAGCCTCTTCATCCCTCTGGCTGCCTTTTCCCAGCATACCCAAGGTTTTGTTGAGCACAAAAGATCTGAGCCCAGTGCCCCATATGTTCCGAAGCCACCACAACACAAAAGAGCTATCTGTGGCCTTGCACCCAAGCACTAGCTCATCCGGTTACTACAGTGTGGGGTTACGTGAGTTATGAGTGAGTTCTCCCCTGCCTCCCCCCTTGCCATCACACACCTTGCATGCTAGGGATGGGAAACCTTGTTCAAGTTAACCAGCAATGTAGTAGTATTGAGCCATATCCCCAGTGCAGTGTGACCCTTCTCTGAGCCCTGCTTGCACTTGCCTGAAGGCTACGGTGAGGAGAGCCTGCTGTACAAAGGGTGGGTACCACCTCAGGTGCTCAGCCATTGCTGAAGTTTTTCCCTTTCCGCCTCCGTTTTTGTAACCCTAAGTCCTTTTAAGATATTGTTTGGGTCTTTTAAGGTAAGTTAACACACTGCCCTGAAGTGTTAGGAAACAGCACTCCAATGCCCTCAGGCCCCTTGAAAACAGATGCTCAGAGTCCCGCCCCTTTCAAAGCCTTCTCAGCCACTTCTTGGTGGCTCACCTTTGAAAGCAGCAACATAGTTGCTACATGACAGCCCTAGTTAGTGTCTTTAGTTCCTTTGAAAGCAGCAACATAGTTGCTATATGACAGCCCTAGTTAGTGTCTTTAGTTCCTTTGAAAGCAGCAACATTGTTGCTATATGACAGCCCTAGTTAGTGTCTTTAGTTCCCTGCCTCGACATCTACATCCCTATAATATGGATGGACAGAAGGGCGGATGGATGAAATGGGATAGCCTTGCTCCCCTGAAGCAAATCAATCACCGTTGTTATCCTCCATCCCCAGAATTTTCTTTTATTGTATTCTTCCCCCACACGTACTGCATGTCTCACTGCTTCAGGCCTGGCATGTTGCCAGCACCAACCCTTTTCTGTGTCTTGGGAACACTCCGTAGTGTCCCTCTGTCCCTCTTCCATCTTCCCTGATGTTTCCTGGAGCAGGTCCTGCCTGTTTCATCCTAGATGCTCCCAGTTCAGGGACTGCTTGTGTTCTCTTCCCAGGAAAGGGAGGGGTACATTTGTTTATAGTCAGTAGTGCATGCATTAATTGGATTGAACTATTTTTCAGTGTGTATATTCTGTATTTCATGGGAGCTGTGTATACAGTGCTTAGCCAGCATTCACAAAGCCCTGGCTATCATCCCCAACACTGAAAAAGAAAATATTAATGCAATATTAATGCAATTGTCTTATCAGTTGAAACTTAGCTAATATTGCACAAATAATTTAGCAACGATATTTGCTCAAATTATGGAGCATAAATATTTTCCCACAAATAATAAAATATTTCAAATATGATTACTAATTTATCACGTGTCCTGGCCACTATTTCTTCACAGTTGGGTGTTCATAAGCAATGCTGGAAGGACAATCTTGAAGTCTTTGCTCAAATTTCTGGTGATTTCTGTAAAAACAATTCCTAGAAGTAGAACTACTCTGAGGCTTGCCACTCTTGCTGCCAAGTAGCTTTCCAGAAACGTGCGATTTCACCCTTTCCAGCTTCAGCAAAGAGCACACTTTGGCTGGGGGAGGGGTTGTCATCCATCCAAAGCCTCCAGGCAATCCTGACAATGGACCCCTTGTCCTGCCCACCCCATCCCCTCTTCCCACCCCCTCAGTTCCCTGCTCTAGGCCGTGCTGTGTGCAAGGTCTCTGTTCAGATCCGTCCTGCTGTTTGGCACTCTGGGCTACCTCTCAGAGCCAGACTCTGAAGAACTAAAGGGTGAGTGAGCTGTCAGTCTTGGACAGTAAGGGGAGGGTACGCACAGGGCACTGAGCCCTGTGTGTCCTTCGGGAGAAGGACAGCGATCCTGATAAAGCGGAGGAAAACAGAGCTCAGATGTGGAAGGAGTCACAGGGTGCTAAATGCTACTTGGAAAGTGTAGTGGAGGACACATGCGGGAGGGAGGGCTGTGGTGCCTGGGTGTGGGAGGGTTGGCCCCATGGACCATGGCCATAAGCAAGAATAGCTCGTGTGAAAATGACCTCTGTTTGCACACAGGCTCTGAAGCCGCTCATGAATCCCCGAAAGAAAGTGGACTTGAAACTTATCATCGTTGGTGCACTTGGGTAAGCCAAGCCCCGTATGCTCGCTAGGAAACAGCTTTAGCTGGTAGCACGAAGGCTGCGTTCTCACCTCCAAGGGACCCTTTCTGAGTCAGAGAGGCAGCAAAGGGCATCCCACTTCAAGGCTGGGAGCTTAGCTGAGAGGCAGCCATTCAGTATCTCTGGATCCACACCCAACAGAAGTCCTGGCACCATTGTGGGACACTCAACCTTATCCAAAAGTGCTCATGTGGGCTGGTTTCTGCTTCTAGAAACTATGCCCAGTCCTTTGTTCCCCAAAGGGGGGTCTCTAGGTCATTGCTACTGGGAGTTGAGAACCTGAGTAACCTTTGCTTGAGTCACTTGGTGGCTGTCGTCTTTCTGTGGCTCTCCCCCACCTCAAGTCACTCATATATCAAAGCCCATTCTTAAACTCCAACTTTGGTTCAAAAAAAAAAGAAAGAAAGAAAGAAAAAGAAGAAGAAAGGGATTATTCAAAGACCCAAGGAAAAACTGCAGTGCAAAGGGCATGGTGTGTGTGTGTGTATACTTCTATGGGTGTATGTATATGTGTGTCTGTGTGTTTCTCTCTCTGTGTGTATTTGTGTGAGTGAGAGTTTATAGGTGTGCATTTACACATATGTGGATTTTCCCCCCTCAGTGTGGGAAAGACCTCTCTCCTCCACCAATATGTACACAAAACATTTTTTGAGGAATACCAGACCACCCTGGGGGCCAGCATCCTCTCCAAAATTATCACCCTGGATGACACCACTTTGAAGCTGCAGGTGAGCACTCTCCTCTGCTTCTGTAACACGCGCCCCTGAGAATCACCCACTTACATAGCAAAGTGTACTAGGAGCTTGGAGGGCCTGCTGAGGGCGCTAACTCCAGCCTCTTCACTGGGGCACATACACACCCACCTGTTTACCTGCTACAGCAGAGGTGAGTAATGTGAGAGACAGGTGACCTACAAAGCCAGAAGACACTTAACTGTTAGAGGCTAGGGTAACAACCTCTGCCCTGGCAACCTAGAGAAAAAAGCCAGAGCTTAGAGCTGCGGTGGTTGAGTGGGAGGCTGCACTGTGGGTGTGGAAGTGCCGTGCACACCTACCCCAGGGCTTTCCCATCCACAAATGAAGCTTTGGGTACCATACAGCCTTGCTGGGGTTCCCTTCGGCTACTCACTCATCAGAACCTGTGGGCCACTGCTCTTCTCCTCCAGATCTGGGACACAGGTGGTCAAGAGCGATTCCGCTCCATGGTATCAACGTTCTACAAAGGTTCCGATGGCTGTATCCTGGCATTCGATGTCACAGATCCAGAGTCTTTTGAAGCCCTGGGTATCTGGAGGGATGACGTCCTGGCAAAGATCATCCCCATGGAGCAGTCATATCCCATGGTGGTGCTTGGGAACAAAATTGATCTGGAAGACAGGAAGGTACTGTTCATTCATTCATTCATTCATTCATTCATTCAACAAACTGTATGTAACAACTACATACCAGATGCTGTGTTAGGTCTCAAATACAGTGCTGACAGAGGCCTCCCTTCAAAGACTCCACAGTCTAATAGTGACAATTATGATACAATGTGGCAAAAGCAACTATAGTTAGACACTTTGAGGCTTTGGAGATCAGAAAAAGGGATGTCTAATCCAGAGTAGAGAGCTAGCTTCTTAGAAGAGTGGGTTCTAGGCTAAAGAAGCACTGTGATGTGAATTGAGATGCGAGTAGGGGATTGAGAACCTCAGAGCAGCCAGGAGTCACGACTTGGTGGAATCCAATTTAATTGTAGAATGGTATTTCTGCCTAGAGTCACAGAGGAATCGGAAGGTATCAATTTTTGGATCTGCAGATTTTCTAGGCAATTAAAAAATTTCACTAAGAAACACAACACATACACACATATACATATGCATACATACATACATACATACATATATATATATATATCTCCAGGATAGTTGACAACTGGTCTACCGCATGACTGCAGTATGGGTGCTAGCTAGCTATCACAGGGCTATCGAGTGGAAAGTTCTTTCAACCTTTACTTGCTACCAACAAAAGCAATAGAGGTTGTCTTAATTTATAAACATTGAGACAAAGGTATTTTGTGCCAATTGAATCCCAAATAACACCTGAAGGAGCTGTTAGTTAAAACCACATTCTCTCGGTATTTCTAATGAAAAAGCATTGACGGGGAACTGAGTCGTTATGGTGGAACTCGGTCTTCACAATGGTTCAAACAGAAAACCACAGGAGAAATGAACTAAAACTTAGTATAGGGTGGATGGGAGGAGGGAGGGAGGCAGCAAGGGTACTTCCAGCTGCACTCACCTGCAGAGAGGAAGTCCCTGTCCAGAGAGGGTGTCCAGAATCTGAGAAGCTTGGAGAGCAACCTGAAGCAGCTAGGGAACTGGCAAGCTTTGGGATACCTAAGAACAAAACTTCAGGGGAGAACCAAGTCTCCAGCTGTGTGTGCCCAGTTCAGGTTGGAAACTCCCTGTCAGTCAAACATCCCTTCTCAGACAGTCATCCAAGTCTCCCTGTCTTCCCACACGGGGCTAGCTGCAGTGGGAACTTCACTGTCAGCTCTACAAGCCCATAGACCCCACCTGCTTAGGTCAGATAGGAGCTCGGGGGGGGGGGGTCTAGTCCTGTCTGGCATGAAGTAGGAAGAATGAGAAATGATCATGGGGCTGAACAGTTCTTGTTTTGTGGTGTAGCATTGTGTTCTCCAGCTGGTAGGTGAGGTAAGGCCCCTCGCCTATGAATCATTCCTTGTGGTCCTGCTGATCTCCTGACGGGGTGGGGCAGCATTCTATGATGCCTGAGAGAAAGTGTCTTGCAATCTGATACTTCTTCCCTCAGCCTCAGTCGGCCCTCTTAGTGACTCAGGCATTCTGACCATGCTCTAAGGAGCCTTGGAACCTTCAGGTGTGTGCCAGACCCCAGTCTGTCACTGCTACCAGGCTCCCGACACCATGTGTTACAATCAACCTCAGAGCTGGCTTTTGACTCCTATGGGAGTCAGGGATAATTATATTTACTCCAAAGGAACACTATTCAATCCTTCCTTCCAAGCCTGTGTGTCCATGTTGTGGGTTAATATTAGTGTCATCTAAGAGATTCTTCATCATAAACCCTGGGAGATATGCATGACTCTAGGGTTATCCCACTGCACACTGGAGTCTATCAGATTATAATGCTGAAATCTAAACATCCATTTCAACATCTTCCAAGCATCCTCAGGTCAAGTTGAGGGAGTTCAGGAAAAGCAGGCCAGAGCTTTCTCAGTGATGTAAGAGATGCCACCCTCCAGTGAGCAAGGAAGCCAAAAGGGAGGCTTAAAACCACGGCAAAGGTTGGCCATTTAGACTCTCTCTAAATCTCATAGACTCCAAATTAATACAGTTTAGGGCTGGATTCTGATCACTTGATTAAAGCCAAACACGAGAGGATGAGATGATAGAGGAAGGGCAGGACGAAGGGCGAGGATGAAGGGCTCAGCTGAAGGAAGAGGCTATGAGCTTCAGCAGCCCTGCCAGAGCAAATGCTAGCTTCTGCAAGCATGCGAATCAGAGGGTGGGGGCAGAGGCTCCCAGGGAGCCTGGAGGGAGGGGGTGGGGCATTTGGAGTATCCGATATTAGAGAGCAGGATAGGATGGGTGTGCAGAAAAGAGAGCAAGCTGAGATCACAGGACAGAAGGCTGGTTTTGTAATCGGAGCTGATACTGTGAAGGAGATGGAGAGATTGTTGGTGGAAAAGGAATTCTGGCTACCTGGAGTAGTGGCAGCTTTGTGTTGATGGGGAAAGGAAGCAGATTGCAATGAATTGTTCCATGAAGGGGTGGGGGTGGGGGATGCCTGGCTGGGTGAAGGGCAGGTGATGACTCATAAGACAGACAGTCTGAGACAAGTGGGGAGGGGACAGGATGGACGGAGCTTTCCTATAGAGACGGGGGTGATAAAAGCAACGAGGCCCCAGGCAAGCCAAACCCCTCCATCATCTATGGAGAGGCAGATGTGGGGATGACCTCAACAGAGATAGTGAGAGGGAGGCAGAGACCCAAAGAGGAGCCAGGGCCAGCCAACTGGGGTGGGTAAAGGATGATTTGGGGAAGATGAAGGGAGTAGATTGTCTATTAGCAAGGTGGCCCAGAGCAGGGGTCTGGAGGGAGGTGGCCTAGTAGGAACCAGAGGTAAGAGGTACTGAACACCAAGGAAATGAGTTCGGGGAAGCAGGCAAGGGGAAGTGGGAGGAGAAAGCAGAGAGACTCACCACAAAGACGCCATATTGTTAGGACCAAGAACTAAGGAGGGGCAGCTCCAGCCCTCACATCTCCTTACTCTGATGCCGCCTTAGCCAAGAGTTTGCCAGCCCCTGGTTGGGATGAGGAAAATGACGACTAGCCAAGTGACGATCCTGAGGGAGGCTTGCACTCTCTGTCACAAAGCTGATGGGGTAGGCACTATCTCTTAGTGGCCTGCCATGTTCCCTGCATGCCCTGCGTCCACTCCAACCTCTTCGCTGCCATGAAAACCTGAAGATGGGTTCCCCTATATTATTTGAGAATTAAGGGAAGTGATGCGATGGTATCCTTAGAGACGGGTCTGGAAAAGTAGTTTTTCCCACTTTTTTTTTTTTTTTTTTGTGGTTGTTTTTCAAGACAGGGCTTCTATGTAACTGCCCTGGCTGTCCTGGAACTCACTCTGTAGACCAGGCTGGCCTCAAACTTACAGAGATCCACCTGCCTCTGCCTTCTGAGTGCTGGGATTAAAGGCATGCACCACCACTGCCTGGTTTAGTTTTTCCTACTTAATTAAAGAAAAATAAACACATTGCCAGATATGGGGAGTAGGAAATTCTGGACTCGAGTAATGATGATGGCCACACAACAGTAGGCGTGCACTTAATGCCCTGAATTCTATGCTTAAACATGACTACAGTGTTAAGTTATATATGGTGTATGTCTTACTACAGTAAATGCATGCATACAGGTACAAACAAACATGCATACGGCCAGAATAATTGGGGGAAGTGTCTTATCTTTGGGGGGGGAACCTTCCCCGGAAGATAACAGTGAGAAAACCTTGGCTCATGACAAAGGAGCTGTAACATCTGAGCTGCAGGGAATTTCTTCGCAGGAGCGCTAATGCTTTACTCCATGCCCAAGTGTGAGTTCTGACCTGTCACCAGTGGATCTGGGATGTGTGTCCTACAAGAGTCTCTGTTATTCTTGGAGATTTACCAACTAGGGTCTGATATGCTAATTCCTTTGAAGTTTTATTTATTCTTATTTTATGAGTGTATGTTGCTTACATACGTGTATGTGCACATACATACGTGCAGTGTCTGCAGAGGCCAGAAGATGGTATTGGATCCCCTCAGAACTGGAGCTCAGTAACTGAGCGGACATATGGATGCTGGGGACCAAGTCCAGATGCTCTGCAAGAGCAGCAAAGGTTCTTAACTGCTGAGCCACCTCTCCAGCCCCCAAACATGCTAATTTTAAGTGTATATGAAGCCAACATGCGGGCTCAGCAGTGAAGAGCCTGATGACCTGAATTTGATGCCTGGGACAGGCATAATGGAAGGAGAGAACTGACCCCCACAACTTGTCTCTGATGTCCATACATGTGTACACACACACACACACACACACACACACACACACACACACACACACACACAGAGAGAGAGAGAGTAAAATAAATAAGTAAATAAATGTTTGCAATCTGGCCTAGTTTTTATCAGACACTGGTTCCCAATGAATGGGCGGAAACAAAATGTTAACAACCCATTTGTAAGCAAAAGGAAAACTTGGGAAAGTGATAGTAGTCTTCAGGGCTATGTCTTGGGTTTACTTTTAGAGTCCCCTGAGCTTAGATCATAGCAAACGACTATGCTGCATAAATAAAAGACAAGATGGTCTTCAAAGTCATGAGGTCCTAGCTGGAGTTGGCAGCGAGAACTTCAAGTGCTGTCTGAGGGCTTCTTTCCAGCCCAGCCCTCTGCAGGGGGAGGGGCTGGAGACCCAGAAAGAATGGGCTGTAGCACAGTCTGGATACGATGGATGTGGGTCTTACCAGCCGACACACTGCAATCACTGTCCGCGCTTCAAGGGAAGGGACAGCGTAGCTGACTGTCTCTGCAGCTGTAACTGATGACAAGCTCCCTCAGTGAGTGATCAGTGAGTGACAGGCTCCTGCTTGTTATGCCTTGATATAAGAACAGCATCCCCTGCAGCATAGAGACTCCGTCTCATTGTGCTCACTCACTGTTTGCAGCCCTCCTGAGCGCCAGTTAACAGTTGCAGTTAGTTAAACACTCAGCATCTGCGGGTATGGGAGGTGGAGGGGGTGGAACTTGAAGAAGTATAAGTCTAGGCTTTGCCCTCAAAGATCCAAAGCACTTCAAGTATGCAGGATGCCGACAGTGTGTACGGTGTTACTATCTATTTCAAGATGCCATCCAGGCATAAGGTATTAAGATCCAGTGATTATGTATCTACATGTTACTTGTACAGACATCCCAAGTCTTCCTCTAACCTACGGTTTACTGTAATCTAGGAGGAGTCTTGGTGGCTTACAGGATCCTTGCCATCTGTCCACAGGAGGGAGCATTCCTCACCAATGCTGGGGTCCCTCTTCCCAAACAAAGGTGGGAAAAGCTTAGGCATCAGAGACCACGACCGAGGCCTGGGCGTTCTTGCCCAGCTGACCAGTCCTAAGTTGCAAACCTCACAACGCCAGAGCCTCGCTGCTGCTTAGCAGAGACACTGTGTAAGGAAGACATGCGCCACTGGGCATTCCTGCCAGTCCTGAGACCAGGAAGGCAAGAACCGGAGAGGCGGTGGACACCAAGGGCACTTCATAATCTCAGAAAGAGAGGTGTTCCCAGAACCTGCAAGCAATGGGAGACATGGTGATGGAGGGAAGTCTCCCACCTCCCCCGCCTGCCCTGTGTTCTAGGAAAAGGCACGAACCTTTCTCTGGAGCAAACAGCTTGATTCCCTTAAATAAATGTAAACAACGCTAGAGTGCCAGGCACAGCATGCATAAGATATGTGGAAGTTTCCCCTCCACTTAATTCAGAAGGATGTGGGGAGTACCCAGCAGCCCCCAACTGCGTCCAGCTGTTTGCACTTAGAAGCAATGCCCTCTCTCAGCTGGCTCACACATATGGGCTGAATAAAAAGGCCCTGAGCCTTAATTGAAGGAACCTGGAGTTTCATGGGAGCAACAGTAAAGATCAAGGTTCTTTTGAAGAGTCCCCAGAGGCAATTCAGATGCCAGGGGACGCTGACTTGGGCCTGCATCCGTGGTCTGCCTCCCCTGAGCCTTATGAGTCTAAACAGGTCTGAGCCTCTGTTCCTGGCTATGATGTCCAGCTAACAGCATCTGTCACGTGGTTAGTGGGGGCCTTAAGTGAGCTGACTCGTGATGACCTGCTGAACAGTAAATAAGGCCGCCCTTGTTCACTGTTCCAGGACTCTACCCTAGGGAAAGGTCCCTCCAGGCATGGATCTGCTCAGTCAGCAGGGAGGCAGAGAGGGAGATCTCCCTTCCCATCCTGCCTGCTCTGAGTCTGTTGGGGCCATCTCCTTTAGAGGGACTGAGGAAGTAGCCAATGTTGGGATGACGCCTCTAGCCAGACCTTAGGAAGCCAGTGTGTGAAGCGGGCTCTAATTCTGCCAGACCCATGTTCAAATCCTGCCCAGACTGTATATCCTCCTGGTAATTCTCCAAGTCGGTGATTTTTCAACCGTCTTAGCGCTGTATTGTGGTGACCCCCACAACCATAAAATTGCATTCATTGTTGCTTCATAACTGTAATTTTGCTACTTTTATGAATTGTGATGCAAATATCTGTATTTTCTGACGGCCTCAGGAGAGGCCATGAAAGGGTCATTCAACCCTGAAGGGGTCGGGCCCCACCAGTTGAGGACCTCCTTATTTCCTGCAGAGTCTCTCAATGCACCAGAAGCTTGCCATGGCTGTGAGGTTTCAGGCATCTGTGGTCATACCCAGCTTTTATGTGGGTGCCAGGGATTTGAACTCAGGTCCTCAAACTTGGGCAGGGGATGCTCTTACCCACTGAGCCATCTTCCTACTGCCACGTTAGTTCTTCTTAATGCCCTAATCTCCCTTTGAGGCCTCTCCTCCTTTATTCTCCGCATCGTCACAGTGGGGAGTCACTTTCAACATGGGTTCTGGAGGGAACAAACCACCCTGAAGCCTCAGCAGCAACAGTGACAGCGGCTGTGATGACAGCAACTCAGAAGCAGTGATCATTTCTCTCTCTCAGGTACCCCTGGAGGTGGCCCGTGGATGGTGTAAAGAGAAGAACATGCCTTACTTTGAAGTTAGCGCCAAGAATGACATCAACGTAGTACGAGCCTTTGAGGTTCTGGCCAGCCGGGCTCTGTTGAGGGTGAGTGACGTGATAGGGATCCTCAGGACTCGGAGGGGATAGGAGCATTCACCTGTTTAATTATTTAGTAGTTGGATGGACTTCGCATTTCTGATGCCGAGGATGGCAGAGGCATAAAGTACTGGGGTGTAAGTAGCTAGTCTCACAGTCTGGCCGGCTATCACAGTCCCTTGTGGAGTATTTAAAACTCCACATGGTGCCTGGGCATTCTAATTCAGGGAGGGTTTGAGAAGTGTTCTCTAGAACAGTCCTCCTTGGGGGGTAGAAGTCTCATGGAGCCAAGCTATGGAATCTCCAGCCTATGGGAGATGCTGACAGCTTCCAATCAGAAAGATAGACCCAGGCGCTCCTCTGCAAAGGCTTAAACAACTTGTGTTGAGTGTAGCATGTGTGCCAGACACAGTACAGGCAGCAGGGTGATATCATCACACTCAAGAGGGAGACAAAGAATATGAGTGATTGCAATACAATTTTTGCATGGCGGAGCAGACTTAGTGATTGGAGTCCAGGCAGGGGGCAATCGGATGGCCCATGTGATGGGAGTGGGCGCTGAAGGCCACCTAGAAGCAGCTGTGGGTTTTGCTTCTGTGTGTTTTGATTTTGGTTTTTCTGAGACAAGGTCTCACTCTGAAGCCCAGACTAAGCTCTAATTCACAGTCCCCCTGCCTCCTCCTCTACAGCGCTGGGCTCACAAGTGTGTGCTACCATGCCCAGCTAATGGCAGAAATAAAATGTTACATTGTGGAGTCTGAAAGCTTGGCACAACTTGGGGCTCATCTCCTTACCTTGTTCTACTATCCTTAAATTAAGAGAGGTTTCTTAAGAGAAGGGGACAGGCATAGTGTCACGAGCCTTTAATACCAGTACTCAGGAAGCAGAGGCAGTCGGAGCTTTGTGAGTTTGAGGCCAACCTAGTCTACTCAGTGAGCTCCAGGAGAGTCAGGGCTATGTAGAGAGACTCTGCCTCAAAGAAACAAAAGGTAATCGTCGTCAGAGCAATGATTTTAAATGGAGGGAATGATCAAGGAGTGGTTAGGAGCTTGGCAGCATCCCCTGGGTAGAAATGGCTGCCATCATCCAGACTTCCTTATGGGTAACTGACTGACTTGCATGACCCATATTGTCCTGAAGAGAAGTCCTCAAGACCCTGTTGGTAGGGACAGGCAGCATTTGCCTCCAGCAGCTGCACAAAGAAAGTTAAGAGCTTTCTCGGTGCACACGGCCCAGCCTGGACCTCAGGTCAGCCTCCAGCCCTCGCTGCCTCCTGAGAAAGAACAGCAGAGAGCATCCATCATAGTGCATGGTCTGTAAGTGTACCTTTGCCACAGGCAGGAAGGCAGCCTCCTAATGTGCAGGTGAGCATGCCTGTACCATTAGCCAGGACAGATTATCACAATTTATCAGGGTGCGATCATTGCCAAACACCCGCGTCACAAGGAATCTTTCCCAGCCCACTGCCAGTGTATGTATGTGTGGTCAAAGAATGTCCTTCCCTTCCCGCTAAGTTGGAGTTACAGTATATCCTTCCTATGGTGTCACTTACATCATGTGACGCCTTCCATGGTGCTTACCTGCTTGCTATTGCTAGCATCCTTCCCCTGCGAAAGAAAAGCCTGGAAACTCTCCACAGTCCCTGATGCTTGTGCCGGAGGCCGAGTCAGTCGGGGCCTGGAGGTCACAGGCAGGGTGTCTGCAGTCAGACAGACCTGGATAGAGTCCTGTCCTAAAAACTTCCCACGTGTACCTGTCAAAACATACGACTGATCTGAGCCTGCTTCCCCATGTGTAAAATGCATCCTAGTCCATAAACGTTTCCTGAGCTGTCACGCGGGGGTTCGAGGTGGGGCTTCAAAGCACCCAGGCTGAGGGGTGTGACACACACGAGGCAAACAGATCTGGGAGTGATAACTGTGTCCAGGGGACCCAAGTTTATTCCTAGTACTCAGGTCAGGTGGATCACAAGCATCTCACACCCATCACTCACCTGTGCTTACCCACATGTAGACTCACGCTGACACACATAATTAAAAAAATAAATCCAGAAGCAGCAATGGCTGCCTTTTCTATCTGTGTGACCCTAACACCCAGGGGGAACTGAGATTTCCAACCATGGGGAGACCCTGTCTTTAAAAAAGGAAGAAAGAGACTCGTGGTCTTGAAGAACTCCCGGCCTCCCCTGGAACCAAGGGATGGAGGTTCTTAGAAAGGGGGCTGGGTGGGCACCAAGGGGCTTGTTAGGTGGACAGGGCCTTCTCTGGGTGTTTGTTGGGGCAGGAGTTTGGATAGTTGGTAGAGAGAAGAAAGGTGCATGGAGACGCGGAACTGGTAGGGATAGTCTCTCTGCTCAGAAGAGACAGGAAGGGTCTTGGGCACAGAGGATATTGGGGGTATTGAGATGTTGTGGGGAGAAGTATCCACCATAGAGGAGGGGTTAGCTGTCCATCTCTGCCCGAGCCCAAATGTCGCCTCAGTTGTCCCTTCTGGGGAGCGGGGAGTTATGAGACCTGGCTGGGGTCAGGAGCCTGAGATCCTTCCCTGAAATACTCTGGACTCCTGGGAAGGGGCAGGACAGAGAGGGAAAGGGAGACGGCAGGAAGGCACAGGCTTCCCCTCTGGTCCTCAGTTTCCCATCACAGAAAGAAGACAGAATGCCCAACTCCCAGGGCCCATTGAGGAGCCGAGTACCAGAGCTCTTTAGACCTCGGGCTGTGAATACTGACTTCCCTTTCCTCCCCAGTACCAAGGCACCGTAGAGAATCACCTTGTGGAATCCATCAAGCTCTCGCCAGGCCAACCAAGGAGCAGATGCTGCTGACTCCTGGACTTGTCCTTCGGACCCTCGCTGGCAGCTGTGCAGGCCACTCATTCCAGGCTCAACCCCACCAGCTCCCTGCATGCCCTTACTGAGCTAGAAGGCTGCAGCAAGAGAGTGTCGCAGGCAAATCCTGGCCCCAGGGAAAGCACAGGAGACCCGATGGCTTCAGCTCTTCCATCTCCTCTCCCCTGACACAGTCCTGCTCACCTCTGATGACAGGCAGCTCCCTTGAGCCCTGTGGACCTATAGCTTGGGAGGCAGCGCAGCTCTGCCTCCCCCAGTGACCAGGCTGAGGAGCCAGGACATGAGCTATTCCTGTCGTGAACACAACGTGTTTCCTCCGTTGCCGAGTGTTTTTGATACCTTCTAGTACATTGCACTGAGGCCTGGTAACACACAGACAGGGGTCCTGATCTCCCAACGCACATCTGGAGGAAGACGGAGGCAGCAGACATAGCCATGAGGTGTTGTGTTAGACAAAGGGGTCCCAGAGGGCTTTCCTGTGGAGGTGACAGTCCAGCTGACAGCTACAGGATGAGCTACAGAAGAGCTTGTCAGGAGAGGGAGCAGCTGGCCAAGGCCTGAGGCGATGGACAGCATGCTGTATTCCACATGAACGCTCTTTACCTGAGGACTCAAAGCTGCTGTCCCATGGGAAAGGCCAGGGAAATCCTGTTACCCGAGGGCACCGTGATAACTTGGTGACTGACCACCAGGGGGCAGAAGTGTCTTCTGCTTCCAGGCTGTGGTGTTTGTTTTGAGGTCACTTGTAAAGCTGGTCGGTTCAGGTTCTGGGAGTGTGGAACCTGGGTTTGCTGGGTAAGACTTCAAATGTCCTGGGTAAAAACTTCAGGATCCTTGATTCAGGCAACAGATCAAAACAGACAAATCCCAGACCAAGGTACCCGAAGAGCATACGGATTCTGTGTCCCGTACATTTCAAAGCTGTGGCCCTGCCTTTTCTTCTGGGGTCACACAGCACAGATAGGGTAGCCCAGCCTGGAGGAGGTGGGCAGGATGAGCTTTCAGGGTCTGCCGTGGCCAGGCTCATGCCTTATGCCTACCCCAGACATTTCCTGTCTCCAGAGTCCTGGATGGGTCTGAGGTGTTAACTGAAACTGTAGGGAAAAGCACCTGACTCCAAAGATTTGCTGAGGGGACACCTGACCAGGGACACTAACCAGGGGATGTGTGGGCCCCGTCTGTCCCTGCCTGGCTCTGGAGAAGAAAACAAACCACCACGGGCAGCTGTCGCACCACGGGAGGCTGTCACAAGGACAGAGTGCCTCCCTATCATACCACCATCTGTATCCTTCAGAGATGAACATTGTGCCCCATCACACACACACACACACACACACACACACACACACACACACACACACACGCGCACACGAATGTCAATGTGTGGTGTGTGTGAGGGTGTGCATTAGCGTTACAAGGCGCATATGAACCGTGGCGCATATGGACCGTATCTAAATGTACAAACAGCTATTAACCGTGTCCCTTGTCTTTCTGGGCCTGTGGTGGCAGGCCAAGATGTGAACTAAACATATTAAATAGCAATAAGAACTTACAACTTTCAAACCACGTGCCCTGTGATGAAAACCGGTGCCGTCCGAGCTGGCCAGTCATCCCTCTATCGAGTGTAGCTACAGAGTGTATGCTGCCACCCACCAGGCACTTGGTAGCTGTCTCAGGTGTCACCGTCAACGGTCATCATTCCCAATGCCTCTGTAACAGTAGCCTAAAGTTGTGTCACAATGCCTATATCACTCACTTTATAAGGTTGAGAATAGTACGATATTTTTTAAACATGTGTCTACGTCGTTTTTATTATTGTACGGTCTCATAAACATGTATTTTATTATCAATTATTTTTCATCTCTTGCTGTACCTAATTTATCCGTTAAACTTGATCATAGGCATGTGTAGGTTGTGACTTTAAGCATCTGCGGTAGGCCCAGTACTTCCTTGGATACGGAGAAATTATAGTGTTCACTTTTTAATTAAAAAAAAAAAAACCAAACAAACAGTAAAGGAGCTGGATGTGGTGGTGCTCGCCCTTAATCCCAGCATGTGGGAGGCAGAGTCGGGTGGATTTCTGAGTTCAAGGCCCCCCAGAGTGAGTTCTAGGACAGCCAGAGTTACAGAGAAACACTGCCAGGGGAGAGAGAGAGAGAGACAGACAGACAGACAGACAGACAGACAGACAGACAAACAGAGACAGAGAGACAGAGAGAGGAGGGAGGAGGGAGGGAGAGAATGACGGAAGGAAGGAAAGAAAAAAGGGGGAAGGCATCAGGGTAAGCATAGACAATAAAAGCTACATCATTTCCACGCCCCTGTGATGAAATGAGCTTGTTCAAAAATTAAGAATTTCGAGACAGCAACAACACCCGACGTCAGTGTGAGTCCTGGTCAGGACAGGTCACCCACCGCCCGTGAAATGGTCCTGAGAACTCCATGAACTCTTGGCTGGAATGACAGAGCTCCGACCTGGACACACTGCAGCTTGAAGGGAAGGCTCTGTGACAGCCACACAGCGCCGGAGCATGCGTTTTACGTTCTCTTCAGAGTCCAAATGAGGGTGGGGACCTGTGGGCCTTGAGACTCGCAGCTACCCTATCACAACCCCGGAGATGCCTGTGTAACCGTCCCTTCAAGGAGAAGACCCAAATCTCTTTCCTATTGACCCTGGTTCACCACAGCCTTGCTCAGCGGAGTTACTACTGGGCAGCAGCTTGAAGGGTGAGAGCCTGGGCCAGGACTGCCGTGCCATATACCCTTGGGGCTCGGGAAGAAACAACGCCAAATCTTATCATCAAACAAATGAGGCTTGGACGCTAGGCCCCAGACTGCCCAAAAGGACTTGGGAAGATGCCCATTTTTCCTGTCGCTTGCTCCCACATGACAGAGATCTCTGCCTAGGCGGTGGCCTCTCTGTCCCTCAGCCGCCAGCAGCTTCTCAAGCTCTGCTGCAGCCTGACGCCTGGCTCTACACCCACAGCGCAGCCTTGGTTGTGGCCCAAGTCTGGAAGAGGCCCAGCAGGCAGCCTCCCCACTCTGTCTCATGCAGTGACCAAGATCAGCTTCACTAGGACAGAAGAGCCCCAGAAGGGGACTTCAATGGCTACTTTTGTTTTTGTGTGGAGGTGGTACTTTTGTTGTCGGGGGTGAGGTTTGTCTTTTGTTGTTGTTATTGATACATGGCCTTGAACTTGACATTTTCTGCCTCAGGCTCCCAGACCCTAGGGAAGGGGTGGTTCCATTCATCATTTTAAGCTCTCCCCTTAGCACTCAGCTTTAGAGCTAGGTGGACAGTGGGGGATAAATGAATATCAGTGAGAGACAATGGACTACTACATAGCTATTTTTTAATTGAATGCATAAATAATTTTGATTAAGGCCAAGAACTCGTTACTTTTTTTTTTCTCACTATTTCTGGTTTTGGGTTTGTTTGTTTGTTTGTTTGTTTGTTTGGTTTGTTTATTTTTGGGGGTTTTTTTGGTGGTTTTTTTTTTTTTTTTTTTGGTTTGAGAATTTCATGCACTGATTTGATGTGTTTTGACCAAACCCACCCCCCACTCCCTCTTCTCCATTCCTTCCTTTTTTCCACCCCTCCCAAAAACCTGATGTGCTTTCTTTTAAAAACGCTTTGCGTGTGTCCTAGTGCTGTACGCGTGGAAGCATCTCATGGAGCATGGCTGCATCCCTGGAGAAAAGGGATCCCCTCCCCCCCCCCAGCAGTCACCAACTGCCAATAGTGATGGGGCTTTAGGCGCCCTGCCCCGCCCCGTCCTCCCTGGGATGGTGGCTGACTTAGTCTTGAGCATGCAATCACAGCTGTTTACACAGCTATTCTTAACCCAAGGGTGCGTTGATGCTTGAAAATTCTGTGTCAGAATCGTGTGTGTAATGCCTTATCTATTCTGTCATAGGAACTTTGCTTTTACAGAAAGGGAATTCTTAGGAGGATCGGTGAGAAATTAATGAAAGTGGGTTACCGCTCATCGGAGAGTCTTGGCAAGTAGGATGGAGTCTTTCCAAAGCACAGTCCTTCGTCTCTTTGAATGTATTACTGGACCAAAAATTAGAAGGAAGGAAAAATAACTATTGGTGGGAGAGAGGCGGGAAAAGAACGGGAGAGGAGAGATCAGTATCCACCTGTCTTAGCCATGGTCCTGATGTTAGTTCAGGCTGACGAACTGAATTCTAATTAGAAAGGAGGGCACAAGAATACATTTCTCCTAGCCCACACAGCCATGGCACAGGCGCCAAGCTCCTGCTGGGGCAAGGTCTCTCCAGTCTCTCTTGGTTCTCCTATGTTGGAGCAGAAGTCAAGTTTCTCCTAAGGGTCAGTCAATAACAGCATGTGTTTCCAACTTCAGAGGCTCAGCTCTGAGATAAACTATCAAAAGTGCCGAGCTCTGTGAATTACCACAGAAATAATATGCTGAGATATCTCCCAAGGTCAGTCTTGGGAGTTTCTAGTCAGTCAACACCTTGGAGCCCCCTAACCTAAGTTCAAAGCAGACCTCCAATCAAAAGAATTTCCTTCAGTTTTGTTTTATTTTATTTGTGTTTTGTTGTGTTGTGGTTTTTTTTTTCTTCAAGACCTTGTTTCTCTGTGTAACAGTTCTGGCTGTCCTAGAACTCACTTTGTAGACCAGGCTGGCCTCGAACTCACAGACGACTCTGTCTCCCGAGTGCTGGGATTAAAAGTGTGCACCACCACTGCCAGGCCTGCTTTGTTTAAATTTTAAAGATGTGTTTCCATGTGTGAGTGCTTTGCCTGTGTGCATGCTCAGGCACTGCATGTGTACCTTGTGCTGTGGAGCACAGGAGAAGGTCAGAGAGCCTGGAACTAGAGTCACAAATGAGTGAGCCCCGTGTGGGTTCTGTGAACTGAACCCAGGTCCTTGGCAAGAGCAGCCACTGCTCTTGACAGATGAGCCATATCTCCAGCCACCCCCCCACCCTCCTATACGGAAACAGGTACAACCGCTTTTAGTTTGTATTAAGCAAAGTGGGCCCAAAGGCACAGCAATTCCACACTGTACACATAACACTCCTGCTGGGTGCATCAAAGGACAGGATCAAGAGTTCCTTCTGTGGCAGAAAGTTTCTTTTGTTTGAGACAGAAAACAGAAAACCATCCAAACAAACTGGAAATAACCTAGACAACCTTCTGGGGAAACCCCGTTAAATAAAATGTGATCTAATCCCCAGTGGGATTG